GAACTTGTTCATAAAGCAGGTGATATTAAGTGGAAATTGAATTTACTTCATATATAAAGATGGACATGACCAATATATGTACACATGGAACTTTGAATTTTACTGGTTGAAGTTCTAATGAAGGAAGTATGTGATTAGATAGTTGGGGTTGTCTCCTATCTTATATTTTCTGACCCATAGATAGCTTCGTTTTCTGAGTTTTATGGCTGTACCAGAAGTCTCACATAGTAGGTACAAAAGCATGTTATGGAGTATTAGAGTCCTGTTTCCAAAGATAAAAGCTAATCCTGTAGAGTTGACACTGAAGGTCTCCTAATTAGTCTTCAGGTTTGCTTTTTGTAGTGATTCTCTCATTCTTTCTCTAGTTAACATGATCTCCACAGAATCCTTCCTGAGCTTCATTGTTTAATATAATTAATAAATTACTTCTCCTTTTTATGAGATATCACTTTATTTCCTGTCTATGGGAACTGAGCAAAAATATGTCCTTTCCTGTGGACCAGAAGAAACGTAAGGTTTCATGCTGATAGATGTATTTCATAGCAATGCTGTGATCCCTTGTAATCACAGTAGCAACAGCAACAACTCTTGCAGGCTTCTCTTTATGCTTGGTTGGTCAAGCAGACACCTGACTCTGTCCCACTTAGGAACTTGTCTGCTTCAGGCTGTGCCCTGACCTGCATCTCTAGTCTTCCTACTCCACAGGATAGAGTAGAATGCAGATCATCCCCAGGTTCCCTGGCTTCTGCAGACTGGAAATGAGTTTTGCAAATTAGGTTAAAAAGTTTCTCAAAATATGCAACCCTGGTCTTCCCTCTAGCTATTGTTCTAATTTTCTCCTTTCTTTTCACAAAATTAGAGAAAGAACACGTGACCACATCTCCATTTTCTCACCACCTACTCACTCTCTCCTTGAATAAAAAAATCTAGTTTTCCTCCCTATATGCTAGAGAAGCTACGCTGATTTCCATCTGTTTAAGCTGCTCTCTTCTGAATTTTTAAAAGTGATGTACATAAAGTGTGTGAGCAAAAGTGTGATGGATATTTAAATTAAACATGTTTTACAGTGAAGGATACATTGTCACTCATCCCTCTCAGAGAACCTCCATGCAGGTTAAGGGTGCTTATCAACTCTTGCCTCCTTCATGGACTTTTTGTGGCTGCCTCAGTGTCCTGAACTGATTTAAAATGGTTATGGAAATTTCTGTCAAACAAAAACATTGCAGAGTGTCTTCAATCACCTTATCCACTAAATCTGGGGCCGCGTGACCTCTGCCTCTTCTCCCAAGTCAAAAGGACTATGAAAAGTAAAAGTTTTGAACTGAGTCAGTACATCAAGGTAAATATAGCAACACAAATAACTGCTTTCACAAAGACTTTGACATTTGCTTCAGAAAGTACCAAGAATGATGGAGAAGTGTGTGGAAAAGGAGGGAGAATATTTTGAGTGTGAAATAATGGCCGTGAAATTTTTATTGCATCTCATCATCTCATCATTACTGTGGAAAACCTGAGGACATGGAATTCTAAAAACACATGCCATTATTTATATTCTCAAAGAAAATGTTACTGTAGATTTATTTTGTCCTTGCAAGAACATTTTCCTTCATTATTAAGTTCTCATAGTAAAACTTTTTCAAATGCTGCCCTAATTTCATTATTACTCATGCTTTCTACCAGTTTTTGTTTTGTTTTGTTTTGTTTTGTTTTTGGTGCCAGGGGTCAAACTCATGACCTCACGTTTACCAAGCAGGCACTTTGCTGCTGAGCTAAACTTCCAACCCCTACCCGTTTATTATAGAAAACTCTGTAGTTTAGCCATATCTGTGATACTTTTAATTAGATAGTCGATTCCAGTAGTATTCTATGAATGTTCATGTTATGTTTCCCTTGAAAGTATTACCTATGTTTTTAACTTTTACTGGTCTAATAAAAATTTTATGGTAATTTATTTTGTTTGAATTTTCTATTAGAATATGTTATTAGATATTGTTGACTGCCTATTATTTCTTTGTAACCACCAATATTTTTATTGAAATTTAAATTTTATTAATAATGTTATAATAAGCATTTTTCATTTGACTTATACTTTTCACTTCAGAAATTATCTCTAGAATTTATCTTTGAATTTTACAGAATAATTTAAGACTTTTTCTAATCATATTAATGATTGCTATTTGTAAAATCTTAATTAAAAAGAGTTGGTATAGTTCAGACTTTACTAATTTTATAGAAATTTTATTCAAAGTTTTCCCCAGTCTTTATACATCTTTTAATTCCTTAAATGGACCTAATTAGATGTTAAATGTTTTTCTTCTGATGCACTGTTAATTTTGTTGTATTTTATTTTGAAATCTTACATAAATTATATTGCTGTGTAGTTTTTTTTAGTTATCGTTGCCAGATTTTGCTATTTGTGTTCTCTTAGTTTCATTAAAAATAAGATACTCTTAGTTTTTTTTTAACTTCTGTATACAATTTTAGTATATATCAGGAAAGAACTTTATATAAAAACTGAAAATTATTCCTCCATAGCATGTATCAGTGTGGCCTCTTAATACATGTAATTTATAACAACATTTTAAATTTCTTCTTTGTTTATTGGACAATAAAATATTTTTCTTGCTTGAATTACTATTTTTTTCTGAAAAATTGATGATTTCAATGAGATCAGTATCATTACACATGTAACAATGTGCATTGGAATATTAAAATCAATAAACTGTGTTTATCTTTTGTCTTTTCAATTTTTACATGGATTTAATTAGTTCATTGGACTTATTTTTCCCTGTCATTCTCAAAAGGAAAATAATGGATATGAAGTTTATCTATCAAAGATCATTTCTAAAGTTTTTCTGTTTCTCATCAACTTACTCTTTTATGTTTTTGGAGTTCATTTTATATTTAAGGTTCACTACTGATTACCTGAGTAACCATCCAAACCCAGTAATCTTATGAATCTCCAAGTCTTTTTATTTGTTGAAGGTCTCTGGTGAAAGGTATCTCCTAGTTTCCTGACTCCTTTCGCCCTTCCTCTTCCTTCAGTTGTCTTTCTTCTCCTGCCCAAATGGGAGCCTTTTCCAGAAACAGCCTGTGGCCCTTAAATTCTTACTTGCTTTGTAAATCTTGTCCAGATTTACCCAACAAATATCAGTAAACATATATCTCTCAAGATCCTTTTTAATTCATTCATGTATTTTGGCAGTACTAGGGAATGAATTTAGAGCCTTCACACTGAACTACATTACCAGCCCATTTTGGTAGTTTTATATTGTTACTGTTTTGGGGCAGGGTCCATTAAGTTGCTGCTGTTCTCAAATTTGTGATATTCCTGCCTTGGCCTCACATATAAATACTGCTAAGCCATGTTTCTAATCATCTGCTTAATATTTCCATTAAAAAGTTAAACACCTGGAGTACAATAGCTTAGGCCTTTAATCTCAGCACTGTAGGAAGTTGATGGATAAGACTGCCCAGCAAGCTAGCAGTTTACCCAGACCTGTCTCAGAATAAAAGTAAAAAAAGAGGCAGGGATTAGCTCAGTGAAAAAAGTCCTGGGTTTAGCCTCCAGCTCCACAGAAATGCATTCATACTTAAATAAACTCAAAATGAATTCATAATCCTATCAGAAGTGATTCCTTGTTGTTCTTTCCTAGTTACCATAGCGTATCATTTCCACCAGGTCCGAGTCCCTCTGCCTTGCAGGTGTCCAAATCCGCATCCGCTGGTGCAGCAACAGAAATACATTCCCTCTTATGTTTGTGCTTCACAGGCTCTCCCCTCCACATCACCATGGCACTGTTTCTGGCAAGCAAGCCCGGTGCTTAAGTGGACTTCTGCTCAGGACAGGGTTCATTCTCTCTCAAGCTGATATTGCCATTCTCCTGAGCCTCTCTTTTCAGTCATTTGAATGAAAATGTGCCAGTAACCTTCCTTGAAGATGTCAAGGATAGAAACTGATCTTACTAACCAGAAAGACAGTGAAGATTTTAACTCAAAAAATTTTAACTTACTGCAACCTTTGCACTATTAGATGATCTCCAGTGCAAATTTTCAACAAAACCTTATAACAACTTCTTATATATGCCCTTCCCCAATAGAAATAGTTCAAACTGAGACATTAGTATGAAAGTTTTGATAACACAGTTGGTAGATATGTATTTTTCTAGTGTCTTACATTTTCTGTGAGGTATGTACTTTGCTTTCATATGGGAAGAACACCCTCTGTTTATGTACTTAATTTCAGTTCAAGGTCTGTTTAAGCATATGTGCTTTGAACACAGATATGCCTCATTTTGATTATCAACTCTTAATTATAGTGCAAGTGGATATGTATATTATACTTCAATTCCTTATTTCATTAGTTGAGTGAATAAGAATTTCTATTTCATGTAATTGTAAGTGAAATAACCAATTTTATCCTTCTACCAAATATAATGATATGATAAGAACTAAAGAAAGCCTAATATCCTCATTTAAAAGCAGGGAGAAGAAAACATTGACACATATTTCTATGAGTTCTGAGTTCAATTTAAAAACAATTATTTTATGTTAAGTTTCTCATGTATTTATTGATACTTCTGGTCTCAAGGTAGGATTTAAATGGCTCTGATTACCTTTTTCACACAGTCCTCTACTTGGAGCCTTCAGGTAGCAGTTTTTGGTACTGTGGAACATTCCAAGGCTAAAAATGGAGGTCTAGACAGTAATCCACAAATCTAAGCTAAATGCTTACATTACTAAATTCAGTGAGACCACTTACATATCAGCATCCTCATGGTCTTTCCAGCAGAATGTGAAGGAAAGAGGTTTAGTAACTGAAAGAAAATATACGTTTAGTGGAGTTATCCAACTCAACTCAGCACTGTTGCAGAAACCGTGCGAAAGTTGATGGAGCATTTTAATCTGTGCCTTTAACTTAACTAATTTCAGTGATACTTGCAAAAAAAAAAATTAGGCTAGTAATTTTTTTTAAGCTCGTGATGTCTTTTCATTTGCAGATTTGTTTCTGGGAAAGTTTGAATGTTGGCTGTTTTTTGGAAAATGGCATTTTTTGCAACACAAAGGTCAGTTTTAAATGTTAGACATCACATGATGGTTGTTCCTATGGGGGTTTTTGTTTTTTGTGTTTTTGTTAATATCTTAATTTTATTCTAGGTCTGTTTTTGAGGTCAGTTCTATGTTTTGGGGGTAATGGGAAATTGTGGTTCTGTGAAACCATGGATTTGAACAAAACATAGAACACTGTTAACATAGAAAAGCTAAGTTCTTGCATGATTCCATTGTGACCTTTTTGAGTGATACCAGATTGTCTGGGAAAAGAGTTCATTTCTTCTCAGCCGTTTGCTAAGGAAACTTGAGTACAGTTGTGAGAATTCTATTATTCTATTAAAATTATGGTCAGAAAACCTTTTAGGTTTATAAAAAGTAATGCCTTTTAGATCTCAGTAATTTAGGGAATAAATGTATAAATTTCTCTATATTTTTTTTTCTGTGCAACTTACAGAATGAATTGCATGTGACAGTATACTCACACTTTCAAATGTTTCCTTTAAAATGTAAGTTGATCTTATCCATGTTCAATACAGAAAATTTTGCCATAAGCAAGTAAAAAGGCATCCGGTTTCCAAGGATGAAACATTAAGGAGAAGTGATAAGGATTCATTAGCCATCATTAAGGTATTTCCATTTTAGCCAATCTCACGTTAATGACACTATAAAATTATTCTTTCAGGCTGGGCATGGTGGCACATGTCTGTAATTTCAAGCCCTTGGAAGGTTGAAACAGCAGAATTGCTGTGAGTTCAAATCCAGCCTGGCTACAAATGTAGTGAGTGAGTTCAAGACTGATCTGCACTACATAGTGAAACCCTGTCTCAAAAAGAGAAAAAAAATTACTTTTTAAAGGGCATCTTGATATCAGTTCACATCATGAGACTTAATTTAGTACATGGTGCTTCCCCTGCAGTATCAAACGAAACTTAGAAATCGTGAGAAAGAGACCTACAGGTGAGATTTTAAAAACCTGAGAACACATTTGCCTGATTCTATCTTAATTATATTTAGTTCTATCTACTATAACTACACTGTAAAAGTATGTTTTACAATCTAAAGAGTAATCTCTGCAGTGTAGGTACAAAACATTAACAGTAAGTTGAAAGTAGTCAGAGAGGTCCTGTCATGTATGTCCCTTGTACTTTAATGTGTGGCTTGGACATTCATAGAAGGGAACTTTTTTGAGTCCCAGACCCAACACACATTAGCTGTGTGATGATGGACAAATAATAAGATCGCTTGAAGCCTCCTGGTCTCCATTTCTAAAGTAGCTGACAGGACTTAACTCATGCTGAACACAGCACTTAACTACAGTGTTTACCTTGCTGGAAAGAATTCCAGCCGCATAGCAGAAGCAGCTGATGGAGATGGATCCGGACCTGTTAAAAATTCATATGAGTGCTGCATAAAATGTAATGGAAGGACAAAATGAGCCAAGCTCGGAACAAAGGGAAATTTATAGGTATCCATAAAATAGAACCACAAAAAAGAGAAAATGATAAACCAGAATGAGATGGGAGCTTTTCACTGTCTTAAAAGCAGTTAGAAGCTCTCCATGGCTCAGACTTGGGACCTCAGGACTGTGACTTGTGCAGCTGTGCTCTCAACCTGTGCAAGGGCAGAAAACTAAAATTGGCCCCACCACAGAGCCTGAGGCTGCAGAGCACCATCCCTTCTGTCAAAGGAGGGAGGTGGCTCTGAAGTGCTGAAAAGGAAGTTGCCTTCTGTAGAGGAGAATGGGTGAATGAAGGATACCCTTTACCTTAATAACAAAAGAAAAACAACAACAAAAACAAGTATAGCACTCCTAATATTCCACGAGATGTATGGGTGGATTTGTATTTTTATAAAGGGCCATAAATCCAAGAAATACACTGCAGGTGAAGATTACTTGTGCATGGAGCCTGATAAGAGGAACACAGGGGGAAAAATGCTGAGAAAAATACACCTTCAGAGAAGCAAAATTAAATAAAACAAACAGAATAACTAAGCTTAAAGAGAAATAAAAAATATGCAGAAGTAGCAGCAGATGCAATACAAGAAACACATTAAGAACTAGAAAAAAAAAGTTCATTTAGGAGGATTTTTTTTAAAGTAGAAATAACATAGCAAAGAATAATAAAAAATAATGAAGTAATGGAAGAATATAAAGGAAATATGCACATTTGGAACTAAAAACAAGCATGTAACTACTGAAATTAGTAAATTTAATTGATTAAACATTAAGTTGGGGGCCCGGGATTTAGCTCAGCAGCATAAGTGCCTGCCTGCCAAACACAAGATCATCAGTTCAATCCCAGGTACCAAAACAAACACATAAACAAACAAACAAAACTATTAAGTTGGACGTTATCAAAGGAAATATTTGTGGATTGGAAGATCTGAGAAGTCAAATACAATACAGTGGCTTGATGAAACATTATTAATTAATGCTCTATTCTCTTCGTCTCATTCTATTTCTTCTTTGTTTTTTCCAAAGTATTTTTCTGCAACTTGTAGGACACAAGATATAGTCACCACTATATCACTACAGCTCTAAGATTTCTCTCCTGAAAAGCACAAAGTTTTGTGGATTGTACTAATAAATAAAAACTGGAAAAGAAAGACACTTAAAGGACAAAAAATAAAGCTATAATAATGCTTCCATAAAAAAATAAAGAAATAAAGTAAAAACAATCAAATCACAGGTGTGTATAAGTTATTTGCAAAAAATTATAATTGGACTTTTAGATAATAACAGCATAGTTCCCTTGTGTCTGGTGATCCAGGGCTGAAAGCTGGACCTGATGGCACACTTCTTGAATCCCAGCACTCAGAAGGCTGAGGCAAGAGAGTTGGAGAGTTGGAAGCTAACCTGGGTTACATTGTGAGACTCTCTCAAAAAGCTAAATTAAATTAAATTAAAAAATAAAATTTAGGTGAGAGAAGAAAAAATCAGAAACAAAAGATTACAAATGTTCCCGTTAAATAGTGCATGAGAAATTTTGGTTTTGTATATGTGTGTGTTGATATTGGGGATTGAGCCCAGAATCTTTGCACTGAACTATATTCCCAACTTGCCTCAATTTAAACAGTGATGTACAGCAGGATTTAGACCAAAATGATAATGGTGGACATGATAAAACAGTGACAGACTTGGAAAATCCTTTGGAAGGGGACATGATAAGAGTTTAAAGTTGATAGAAAATATAGTTAGGAGAAAGGTAAGAATTACAGTCAGTTCAAAAGATAAATACATGTAGGAATTCTGTCTGTGATATTCGTTAGTCACACACATTCGTTGTCTAGACTCTTCCAAGGATCAAAGTCTGGGTACTTCCTCTGGGCATTCATTCCTTTTTATACATCTCAAATCAGTATACACTTCAAATCAATAGAAAGCACTTTCTATGGGTTTGACCCATTTTTTTTTCCAAACTTTCTCCTAATAAACAACATAAGTGATTTATTTTTATTGCTTGTGTTTCATGAAAAGTTTGCAAATACCTGAAGACAATTACTATCTTTTCTTTTTCTCAAACTAAGCATTCTCTGCTCTTAACTCTAGCAAAAATCTACTTGTGTGGCAGTTGTACCTAGACTACTGAAGTCTAATTATTTGAGTTTGCCTTGAATTTCCCAATAGATTCTGTTCTCTAGAGTTCCTTATCTACTGGGCAATTTAAATATTATTTTCAAGGTAAACCTGGTGTAAAGTATAATTTAAATCATTCCTCACTTCTCACCATTTTACTGTTCTGAGTATGTTTTTATAGACATGCATTTTATTATTTCAGTATATCTCTAAAATAAACAAGATCATAACTAAAAACTAAACAGTTCAAAAGTTCCCAATTTCATATTTCAAGAAATACAATCAGTGTTTAAATTAAGGTTTGGCGTACCTATTTTATGTTGACTTATTAAGCTTTATTTATCAAACAAAAAATAAAACCAAAGAAAAGAGTATAATTTATTAAAGAAGAAGAAAACAAAATAAATCAAAAAGCACATAGTTAAGCCAAATGTATTCCAACTCAGAGCACATGCTTTAACATAATCTTCTGATAAAGAAATAATAAAATGCAAAAATATGAGGGGAGGTAATCAAAGTATTAACTCTTGTAAAGATTGGCCTCCTTGAGAGACAAAAAAATTATAAACCAGTGCTAGGATTTGACATGTAAAAGATACCGTCCTTAACCCCTTTGCTTGTACATGGTCACTTGTCACCAGCTTTGTCAAAGGCCAGAGTTCACAAATGACTCAGAAAACCACAAGATCAGCTAATGAACCATGTTTAATGGATATTACCAATCTGAGCCATTGAAAGGCTAGTATAAGACTGTCAACCTACAATCATGTTGAAACCATCCTAGAGTCTTCCTTCAGATGATCTTTGTGTTATTGTAAATGCTAAGGAAACACTTGCCTTCAGTTACTGTATCATTTAGGATTAGAAATTCACTATCTCCCTAATATTCCTGAAGTTTTTGAAGAAAGGATTGACTCAAGCCTGCCTGACCACTCATTATAGATATTTCAGCTACATTACCAATCTTTTATTTGCATTTTGCTTCTGTGCTGCTCTATTCTCTCAAGTGCACCTCAGCCTGAAAACAGGCTTTCTTTCTTTAATCCACTCCCTTTAAGGAGCTATAGCAGATACTAATTTTTAATAAAAATTGCATGTAGTATAGAGGAATTATATTTCACCCAGCATATCATATACCCTTATACTTAAATATCATTATTATTAATGCTGCCTTTGAAATTCCTTTCAGATGACCTCTACCATTTTCTCAAGTCTTATCCTCTTCGATTTTTCCAGACTCCCCCTTCCTTTCTCCCCAAACTTTCTTAATCTCAATCTGTATCACCCTTGTCAATTGTCTCGTGAGCCTCAGTAAACTTAAAAATTTTTACTTTGCTTTTATGCAAAATAGCCTCTCTATTTTGTAGCCGGTCTTCAACTTTTCAGATTGAGCCCCAGGGTCTATTTCTATATAAGGTCCATGAAGCTGTTCATATG